GGGTATTATTCCAGATGATTCAGGTGGGGCCAATGTTATCACAAGGGACCTTAAAGTGGAAAAGGCAGGCAGAAAAGTCAGTCATATGAGACCTGGACTTGCTTTTGCTGACTTTGAAGAAGGAACAAAGGTCCACAAGCCAAGGAATGCAGGCAGCTTCTAGGCACTGGAAAAGGCAAGGAAACAGATCATCTCCAGAATGACAGGAAGGAATGCAGTACTCACTGTTGATGGCTCTGATTTTTACAGTGAAAACTGTCGGATTTCTAACCTGTAAAACTAAGATAAAAAAGCTGGGTTGCTTTAAGGCTCATGCTACTTTGTTAGAAAGTAGCAGTACTTTGTTGCTGTAACAAACTAGCATGAGCTACTTTGCATTTCATCAGGGATGAGCTCATGCTACTTTGTTACAGCAGCAACGGAAAACTACTGCCCTGAAAGACAGTGTTTTTCAAGGTATTTGCCCCTCATTTCTTCTAAGTTGTCAAATTTATAAACCTAGATTTGCTCATAGTATTTGTTTATTACCCTTTTAATGCCCGCAACATCTATAGTGATATCACTTCTTTAATTCCTGATATTGGTCATTTGTGTCTTTTGTCCAAGAACCGTATTTTCATTTCATTGATTTTCTCTATTTATTCTGTCTTCAATTTTATTGGTTTCCACTCCTTCTTATTTCCTTTTCTTATGCTTTCTATGGGCTTATTTTGCTCTTCTTACTAATTTTTAAAAATTACCCTTGCTTTTTAAATATATTAGTTGTAAGCTTACATAATTTGATTTTTAATAACAGCTGTATTTAACAACCAGCTCACAATGTGTCTGAGACCCACATGGCTTACAGCTATGAGCGGGCTCCAGCACACACTCCTCCCACATCTGTCTTCACCTGTGACCTCTTCTTCCCTAGGCCCCCAACTCTCCAGCTACCTAGTCAACATCCCCACTTCAACGTCCAACTGACATCTCAATAAAACTACACCCAAAACGATGTCTACCACGAAGCTGCAATCTCTTCTCAACCCTCTCTCTTCCCACTTCTGGAAACAACACCTCCAGGCTCCCGTTTGCTCAAGGCCAAGTGGCACTTCATCCTTGGCCCTTCTTTCTTCACAGGCCACATGCGGTGAGTCAGCACATCCTCTCAGTTCCATGATTAAAATATGTCTGGGAGCTCTGGCCTGGTAGCTCTGCTGGTTAGAGCATTGTCCTGATTTGCCACAGTTGCAGGTTCAATCCGTGGTCAGGGCATATACAAGAATCAACCAATGGTGAATAAATAAATGGAACAACAGATCAGTATCTCTCTCTCTCTTTCTCTCCCAAATCAATAAATAAAATGTAAAGAAAAGATATGTATCTACAATCTGAGCATGCCACACTGCCTTCGGTATCACCGTCACCCTGGTTCGAACATCGACTCTCACCTCGATTCTGCAGCAGACCCTGCACTGGGCTCCTGCTTCTGTCCTTGCTCCTTCACCTTCTCTTGCCACCACAACACCAGTGGTCCCGTTAAAATGTCAGTCACACAGATAGGGTTGCTCCTCGGCTCACAACTCGCCTCGGCTCCCACCTCACAGAAAACCCTCCCGGCCTTACCACAGCGGTCTGCCCTTCCCCCCTCGCTCACCCTGCTCCCTACCGCCGACTCTGCCTCTTCTTCCAGCTCCGACCCGCCCCATGCTCCCGCCCGAGAGCCTCTGCACCTGCTGCTCCTCTGGTCTACAAAGCACTTCCTCCCACCCCCACAGCCCACGGCCTTGCCTCCTCATGCCCACACTGCATCTCCACGGGGAGGCCTCCCTAACACTCTTTACCCCTCCCGTGCTTTATGTTTCTCACACCTCTCAGCGCTCACTGCCTGGCGTCACACCGCACACTTGTTTGTGACGGTCTGCCCCTCTCCGGTACTTACCACTTCAGGCCCTGGAACACAGCCTGGCTCCTACTTCGTCCTAAATCAGATTTGCGTTGTGACTGAGTTTGTGAATGAGTGGGAGGCAGCCAGGAGAAAGCTCCAGGCTCCCATGGCTCCTGGCTCCACTGGGCTCAGGGTCTGCTCCTTGGCAAGGCTGGCAACGCACTGGGGAATGTGGTCCCCTCAACCCCTGTGGCTCCACCTCAGGCATCCCACGCCCACCACTCCCAATGACAATGACAAGTGTTCTCAAACAGGCTGCCCTCTCTCAGCTCAGGCCTTCCTAGGGCTGGAATCCTTCACCATTTCACCGGCAACTACCAGTTCTGGGGGGCCTTTCCTGACCCCCTCGACTAGTTCAGGGGCCTCCTCAGCTCCCGCTGACCAAGGCCTCCCCACATCACGAACATGTCGCACTGTAACTGCCTCTCCCACCAGTCTGCGAGCTGTCTCACAGTAAGGCCTGTGACTTACTAATCTCAGAACCCTGGGGCCTAAGACTGAGGAAGTGCTCAGTAAATACGATTTGAATGAAAGAATGAATGAACAAGTGAATTGTTAAAAACCAAGATGGCTGAGTGATCAGACGGGGGACCATCCCACTCCCCACGCCTGTCACCCCCCCACACGGAGGGCCTGGTTCAGCCCAGCCCAGGAGCAAGAAGCCAACAACTAGCCAGAGCCTGTGAGGTACCAGCAGGTCACAGCTCTCAGCCAATCCTTCCAATAGGCCGAGAGCCCAGTGGCCCCAACATGAGAGGGACGGGAGAGGAAAGCAGCCTGTGGGCTCTGGCAGGAAGAAGCCACATCACCCCAAGGACTGATGCCTGGGACTCCCCCATTACCATTTCCTGCCCAGGTCACATTCCTTGGCCACAGTTCCCAGGCTGGTGCTCAGGGCAAGCAGAGAAGGGCTCCTTCTAGACCTGCAGACAGCAATCAGTGATGAACCACTGGAACTGGAACCCACACCCAAGCAACCTGAGCAGGTGGGTCTGCTACATGGCCTTGGCCCAGGCCCAGGCAGTCAGAAGGCCAGCACAAACCCAGATGAGGCCAGTGAGACCACCCAGCAGCCCCAACCCCCCCATTCCTGATGCCTCGTCTGTGCGTAGTAAGAAGGCAGAATCAGCCCCACTGCCCAGCCCGCAGGGTTAGCAGCCCAGCACTGATCTCGCTCCCCTCACTGGACCCCAGATGCACTTTCCTTGGCCCCAGGGACTGCCTCTACCGAGGAGCTCATGGCCTGAAGTCCCCTTTCTGTAGCATCCCAGAGGGCAGAAGAGGTCCTCAGTGAGGGCTCTAACCAGTGTAATTCCTTCCAAGGGGACCCTTTCCCATATCCCAGATCAGACTCTCGTGGTTACCAAGGCCTCAAGGGCTCTGGGCATTGCCAGCTCCAGTTCGGTAGTACCCCAGAATCTCACAAAGTTGCCCCCACAGCTCTCCATGTTCCTGCCAGCCCCTGCTCAGAGTGTACCGCTCCCGCAACCTCAGCACTCACCTCTGTCAGGATGAGGCCCAGACCAGACTCGGCCCCAAACCCCAGCTCTCCCCATGTGTCACCTCCCCCCTTTCTCGAATCCATCTTCAGAGTCTGCTGACCCCATCTTTAAAGTGACTCTTGATTTCTGGCCTTAGCCAAGCCCCAGGACCTCCGTTCTGAAGCCCGCCCTGCTCTGCCACAGAACAGCTGCTCCGCCATCTCTCCTGGGCCTCCCATCACGGCCTCTCAAATTAAACACTAGTCCCTCCTGAGCTGCACATCCAAGCCCAGCAGACCCCAGCTCTGCCACTAACAAGCTGTGTGACCTTAGGCAGATCATTTAGCCTCCCTGAGCCATGATTTTCTCATCTATAAAATGTACTTTGAAAGCTACTGACAGATTTTAAAGGCAATGAGGCTGTATCCAACACTTGATAGACTTCGGGTGTGACCCGCACTCTGCCAGAACCCTGAGGCGTCCGACCCTGGTGAAACGGGCTCTTGCCTCCTCCTGTGACCCGGGAGGGCTCTGTGCAGGCAACAGCCCTCTCTCAGGCTTCCTGTGTGCTCTGGCATGAGGCAGGCAGGACAAGGTCTGAGGCTGAGCAAACGGACTGCAGGGATATAAGCCACCCACTACTCCAAGTTTCTTTGGGGCTCAGTTTCCCTTCAGCTCAGTGAAATTGAGATTTCTATATGCAAAGCCAGGATGAAGAGCCTTCTACATGCAGGCTGGGAGGGGCTGCCTGAGCAGCAGGAATGAGCCTCTGGTGCACTGAGAGAGGCTGATAAACAATGCACCAGAATCCAAATCAGGAAGGCCCAGAGCCGGGGTTGCCATGGCAACCTACAGCAGGCTCCCAGCCTCTCTGGGGTGGGCCTGCACTTGCCAGACTGGGTTGCCCCCTGCCTCTGAGGCCTCCTCCCTGGGCTTTGCCCAACTCAGCACGGACAGAGGAGAGAGGCAAGGGCAGAGAGAGGCAGGCCTGGCCTCTGACCACCAGCTGTAGTGAGATCACCCCGCGCCCAGGGTGAGGCCTCTGGGGTACAGCAAGCCTCCCCAGCACCCTTCCACCAGTCGGGCCCCATCAGCCGTCTGGGATGGCACAGCATCCTCACAGGTGGTGAGGCCCCCAGGCCCCTGCCAGGGCCAGTGGCCTTGAAGCTATTACTTGGGTACAAGGTGGGGGGAGGGAGGCAAGCAGATAATCCCCAGGCCTCCCCTGGTAGCCGGGTGGGGGAAGGAACAAGCACAGGGGCCAGGACCTTGGGCGTCCTGTGTGCACGTCGTCCTGTGTGCATGTCTTCTCTCATTCAACAGCACAACCCTCTGACAGATGAGGAAACAGGCTCAGGGAAGTTAAGTGGCCTCCCAAGGTGACAGAGCTAACTGGGTAGTAAAACTAGGTCCCAGGCCGGGTCTTCCAACTCCTCAGCCCGGATCCTTCCCAACGGGGCCTGTGACTGGATGCCCTGGGCAGACCACGCAGCGTGTCACCAGCGGCCCTTTGGACCTATCACACATTGACCCACCTAACTAGCAGAGGGCTGTGCCCAGTCTGCACAGACACACAGTAGACAGACAGACAATGACCTTCGTGTCTCCATTTAATGGCTGATCTGGCACTGCCCAGGTGATGCCCAGACCCCAGTAGGGAAGTCCTCCAAGATGCCTGTCCCCTGCAGAACCCACCCACGCGGGTACCTCTCAGCGTCCCAGTCCAGTCCCCCGGTGGGGCAGCGTCAGCTCAGCTCCTTCAGCAAGCTGTTGACAGAGCCCAGCAGTTCCCGGAAGTAGCCCTCATCCTCACCATCTTGGAGCTCCAGGGCAGCTAGTACCTGATACTCATCCTGCAGGCTGGCCAGCATCCTGCTGAGCTGAGGGTCCTGACGGTAGTGGTCCCGGCAGGTGACCAGGAGGGCACCCAGTGTCTGCAGCACCTTTTCACGGGCATCATGTTCAGGCAGCGCTAACAGGTGGGCGGTGATCTCACACCAGCCTTGTTCTCGCAGGCTTGGCAGGAGGTGCACCTGGCGATACTGCTGCAGCTTCTCTGGGGACGTCTCCGGGGTCAGTTCAGCTTCCTCCTCGGCAAACATCTGCCATCCGCATGGCCGGGTGCGAGCGATGGGGTGGGGGAGAGAACACACAGACAGCAGTCAGCTCTGCCCTTCAGAAAGGAAGACACGTGGCTAGTCCGTGAGTTCAAACCTCCTTCCTTCATCCCCGCGGGCCTCAAAGGCCCCTAATGGACGAAGGTCAGCACGATTCGTGGCTTCCCAATGCTCTCCCACCCGTCTGTCCATCCACCCAATTCATCGAAGCAGCCGCTGGAGAAATGAAGATGGAAACACAGTCCCTGCCCTCAAGGAACTCAGAGTCTAACAGAAGAAAAAAATGTAACTGAGTAATTCTTAAAGAGCATGGTAAATTTTGTCTGGTAGTGTAGTGCAGAGGCAGACAGTCTGGGTTCAAATTTCTGCTCCTCCGACAGCCGAATGAACTTGGGCTGGCACTTGGCCTCCCTAAGACCCAACGTGGAGATGATACAACCCCTCAGGACTGTTGGGAGGACTCAAAACAATGAAACACAGGCAGACACCGGCCGGCACACCAGCTCATCCAACAACACGAGCTTCAATACCAATTATTAACACAGCATCTACATTTCTGCGAGTGTTGGCTAGACCAGCAATGTGATCGTCTCTGCCACAGCTACAGACCCACGCCCACAGAGGAGTCAGGGACAGGGGTAGAGGAGGACAGCATTTCCCTGAGTCTTGAGGGGTACATGGGAGCTGTCCAAGTGGAGAGGGATGGGTGGAGGGTCCACATACAGGAAAGTCGCAACAATAGGGCTGGGCCCACTTCATTTTGAAGAATGGCAGGTTATGGCCGTCAGTGGAACACAGAACACACAGAGCGCTGGGCACCCCCCAGGGAGAGTGGCCCGGATGCCAAGGGTCTGGGATGCCAAGGTTTAGGGAGGAAGTCACATATGCTCGCCTCGTGCAGAAACCCAGCCCTGTCAGTAGAATGTGGTGAGAACCAATCCTGCCAGGCTCCCAGAGGCAGGAGTGGAAACTCCTGAAACCTGACAAAGTAGCAGCTTATTTCAAATGTCAGAGGAAGGCTATGCGAAGGTAGAGGGTCAGCAAAGGTGGAAATGTACCTGCAAGAAGAAAGAAGAAGTTTTTGCGCCAAGTCCAGGAGAGAATGAGGCATTCAGGGGATGGAGAAGGCAAGAGTTCACTCTTGCTCCACTCTTTTCTTGTGGCCCAAGAAAAGATCAGGGGCCACAGTAGGTCACTTGATGACCCTGAGGGCCACCGGGAGGGGAAGAAGCAGCTGGGCAGAAGCAGGGGTCAACAGCTTGGGAAAGAGAAGGCTGAGAGGGATACGGGTGCCCTTTCCTACCCTACCCGAGTCCTGCCAGCTCAACCTCCAAAACACACCCCAGTCCTCCCAGCTCCGCCCCACGAACCGGCTCCTCACTGCACTTCCACAGGGCACTGCCTCCCACTCCCTGCCTTCTCCAGGCCTCTGACGGCTGACGGTGCAGCCCCAAATGGTTTACAGCACGGCATTTCTGACGATAAAGACAAAATCCCTTCCCTGGGACTCCGAGGCCCTACAGGATCTGCCTCTCTCTGCCTGTACTTGGCCTCATCCCCACACACGCCCTCACTCTGGCACTGGTCACACTGCCTCCCCCCAGGGACTTCGGAGGTGCAGCTCCCACTTCAAGATGCACCGTCACCCAACCCAACTCCCCAGTTAACCTGCTTCACTCTTCAAATCTCGGTACTCCCCTGACTCCCCAGAAGAGGTTGGGGCATTGACCTTAAGCCTAAACGCTCTGATGATTCTCTGATAAGTATCTGCCTGAAAGCAACAAGCGAGCAGGGACTATGAACCTGGAGCAGCAGGAGACAGGGCAGATACCCAGTCAATACTCACGGGAGGAACCACCCCGTGGCCCTTCAGCTGCACGAGGCACGTGGGCTGCTGACCACAAGCGGGCCCCACCTCTGCAAGAGCAGCAGAGGAGGGTCCGCACTCGCCTGCATTTCAGTTGCTGTCTCCCCACACCTAACTCGCACCCCCAGTGACAACCGGACACACCACCTTCAGGTGCCTCATGACCCATCCCTGAGGAGCCACAGAACAAAGAAGCCCTGACTGCCTCCAGCAAAGAGCACGCTGATATCTGTCCTGCAGCTCTCTGGCTGCAGGGTGCAGTGTGGGGGGAGAGACACCAGTCCCTCCCTGATCTTCGCAGCACACCTGCGACTCCAAGGTAGGTTCCCAGGACAGCTGATTGAGGGTAGCCTTGGTGGGACTGCCCAATGGTCTCCCCCAAGGATGAGCCAATGCCAATGCCCACCATGCCAGGGCTGGGGGGAGTGAAGAGACACCCAAGATAACAGCGGAGAGATCAGCTTCTACAGCCAATGTGCACGTCCTTCCCCAGGCTTGCTGGCCCATTCCCAGGATGTCAGCTGTGCCTGGGCCTTATTAATTGGATGCGAGCACCACAGTGCTGCCTGCTGTTCTGAGAAACTGGGTTTCTGCAGCTTAAAGGAGGCGGGGGTGGTGGTGCTAGGGAGACAGAAAGAGAGAGAGAAACAGGCTGAGACATGACAGACCGAGAGAGAGAGAAGCAGAGAGTGAGAGAGGACGAGCTCACACAAAAGCAACAGCTGACAGAGTGAAGCAGCAGTGGATGACCCTGACCCTCAGCACAGAAAGGGGCAGGGAGGGGGCTGGGCCCCGCAGCCCATGACACTCGCAGCAGTTCCAGCGGCTGCCCAGGCCTGCTCCACCAATCAGCAGGCTGGCTGTGCCAGGGAGAGCGTGGCCTGAGACAGGCAGCTGAGAAAGCCCTGCCAATGCTCTCTGCAGCAGCTGAACTAAGAATCCAGGCCTGGCTGATTTTACTCTCCTTAATTAAGACACTTTTTAGGCTCAGAAAGACCAAAGTGGGCTAAGCACCAAGTCTCCACCAGGTGGCAAGCACCTGGGGTCCCCAGGGCCTTTCAGGGCAGCCATTCTGAGCCCCTACCCAGAGCTGAAGCTCCCAGAATAGGCAACTCCAGGTTTCTAGAATCTTATGAGTCAGCATCATTCCAGCCCTTGGCTCCTGGGTCCCCCGGCTGCCGTAACAGCTCCTAGACACAGCTGCTCCACTCCACCTGCTCCATTCCACCTGCTCCTCACAACCCCACCCCATGCTTCATCCACATAGTATTTCATTCAGTGAAGGGCTAACCCTGACTGTTTCTGGCCTTCCAGCACATTGATCCCTAGGCTTGCACACTGTTCGGACCACTGCCAGCACCCCTCCCCACCCCTCCTTTCCAGCCCTCAGGTTTCAGATCAGCAGTCATTTCCCAGGGGACATCCTCCCTGACGTCTCAGAAACCCTGGGTTCAGAGCCCTGACTAATGAGGATGAAGGGATGGGTGGAGGAAACATGGGAGGGGGCCTGGATAGAATGGCCGGAAGCAAACAGCAAAGTGAGAGTGGAGCAGAGCAGGCGGGGCACTCACCTTCTCGGTGACCAGATCATAGAGCAGCGTGACCACGCGCACAGCCAGCACCTCTGTGCCCTTCTGCTGCACCAAGCTCCTCAGGACCTGCAGGCCCCCCAGCTTCAGGAACTGCTGCTGGGCATAGGGGAAGTGTCGCAGCAGGGAGCACAGAGCAAACAGGACCTGGAGACACAGATCCAGCAGGGTGAGGGGCCGTACGGAGTTGCGCCTGCCCCAAGGCCCAGAAGATGCAGATGGAGGTGCGTCAACGACCACGGCCCAGCTCCCATTCTTCGTGGCTCGACCCACTCCCCTCCGGCACAGCGGCACCCCAGAACCCAGGTCTGGGAGAGCCAGGAGAGAGGTCAGACACCTTCAGCACCATCCAGAGCCAACAAATGAAGGCCCAATGCAGGAAGCCAGGGAATAGGACCCCAAACTTTCCAAACCATGGGAGCTACACCCAGGCCTCCAGATGCCTCGGCATGCTGCTTTAGGCGAGTGGGACCTCTCCCCCTACGCCACCCAGCAGATGGCCTCTCAGGCCCCACAGGGGTGCTGGGGACTGGGCAGGAGAAAGGGAGCAGAAACCCACCTTCTTCTTTGCAGTGAAAGGCTGCTCCGTAGCCAGGATGACTAACAGCTTCTGCAGAGCTCCCCCTTCGATGGCCTCCACCTGGACCTTTGGGTTGCTAAGGGGAAGGAAGCCCAGGAAAACATGACTTTACACCTGTTTTACCAACTTGGGGTAATACCACTGTGGCCAGCCCAGGAATCTGGGCGGTTAAGGAGATGACACCACACCAGCCATCCCTGGGCAAAAACGCCTTCCTCCACGTTCCCCCAAGCCCGTGCTGGGTGCCCCTTCTTCCATAACCCCAGGCACATCACATACGGGGGGGCCATTACTGACGGGTCCTAGCAGCAGGGACCCACTCTTCTCTCCTCTGCTCTCCTGGGTGGAGCACACACAGCACGAGTAAACACTTGGGTGAAAGCAAGAAGAAAGCACAAGACCCAGAGAGCCTCTGAACTGCTGCGCAGATCTGAAAACAGGACCAACCCCCTGCCTCCCCACCAAACCCTCTGCTGTATGAGAAGGGCTGCTGCGGTTTCCCTTCCCCTGTATTCTCAGTGTTCAGCACAGCTCGGGCCGTGTTACAGGACCCCAAACAATAGGGAATGAATGAAGGAACACATGTGCATAACCCTGATTGTGCCAACCAACAGACAGGCAACGCTGAAACTCTCAAATCCAGAGTTGCCTCTAGAACTCTCCGAATTTTAGACTGGAGAAAGAGTAACGGGATTCGCACGCACATTTCAGACACAGCCCTCCTGCATTTGAAAGGGCGTGCAGCCTGGGGGGTGAGCCCTCCATTAGGGCGGGGTGCCAGGCAGGGGACATGGCTGGGAACCCTGGCAGGATACCTTTTTGCAGAATCCTTGCTTTCTCAGATCAAATTAGTGATCAGTTAAGGAGCAAGTGCCAAACACATGGACCTAGGTCATTAGGCCCTAGAGGAAGGTCAAGGCTCCCTCCCCAGCCACTTCTGAGGCTTCAGAGAAAAAAGGCAGCAGGTACATTACAAGTCTGAGGCCAGCAGCAAGGGGAGGGGCAAGGCCAGAGGTCAGACAGCCCAGAAAGGGTACCAAACCTCTTCCAACCTCTGGCTGCCTTACCTTAGCATAGCCACCAGCTCCCTGGAGCCCCCAAAGCACCTGTTCCTCCTAGCCCCCAACCTTGGCAGGGGGTCCTCATGGCATACTGGAGAAGGAGGCAGGGTATAGGCAAGTCTGAGGGAGTCAGCTCCTGGTCCAAAACCCAGAGAAAGGGGAAGGCAGGTAATAAGAGCATGTGCACACTGCTGCTTATCGGAGAGGCCCTGGCACACAGTACGCAACGCACTCCATAAACGCTGCCTAGTGGCCTGGTGATGGGCCCGAGTGAGTCCTGGGTGACCCACCCTTCTATTCCTACTAGGCACTACCTTCAAGGTTCAAGGCAGACTTAGCACACTGAGCCCGTTTTCCTGCTGTAAAATGGAAGGTGCCTTCACCTCTCTGCGTCCGTCTCAGCCAGAAAGGGCATGCAGGGTGTGTGCCAGCCTGTCCCACTGCGACTCCACGTGTGTCTGAGGAGTAGCCTGGAGATGGGCCGGGGTCTCTGGGGAGGGAGGCTGACTGCTCCTCCCAGACAGTCAGGTGAGCACCAAGGCATGAGGGACTGGGAGCTGAGCCCCTCACCCAACTTGAGAAAGGCAGCTGCTTCAGCAAATCGTGAGCTAATTAGGGCTATTTCTGCCATCATCTGCCTGAGGAACACTCATCCACAGCAGGCAGGGCTATGAAAAGACAACCACCACACAAACATCCAATGTTGCCTCCCAAGGAAGAGAGGCTGCAAGGCCCAGGGAACATTGTATCAGCTTCAGGGAGCACTGGCGATGAGCCCCGTCCTCACGGGGTCACAGAGTGGCAGAGTCGAGGCCCGCCATAGACAGTGTGAAGCATCGTCCTAGTCTACAGATGTACTGAGAACAAGACCCAGAGACAAGACAATTACCCAGCAAACCTGAGAAGTCAAGATCAGAGCTCAGGCACAGAGTGGGCACCCGAGGAGACCTGGGTCCACCGACCAGCCTGGGCATCTTCCAGAGCAGCCACCCCATCACCAACAAAAGGCAGTGTTGGGAGAGAAGTGAGACAGCGTGTAGAAGACCTGGACTCTGCCTGCTGAGATCCTACTTGGTAGAAGGGGAAAAAAGACTTAAACCCCTAAAGGGAACCAAAGCACAAGCAAGAAACAAACTTTCAGGGGTAAAGAGGACAGGCATGTGATTGCAGGTAAATCACTGGGATCCCCCAGAGAAAGAATAAACTGATTCACTGGGTGTAAAGAAAAGATGCCCAAAGCCAATAGGAGATACGGCTTCCCTGGTACTTGCTGTCCACGGGGCTGCAGTGTGGGTTAGAGCGGGCCTCGCTGTCCTTGGAAGATGGGGAGGCGAGTCACTGCCGGGCAAGTGCTCAGAGAAGCCCCCAGGCAGGACAGGTCGCTGGGGAAGCTCAGCCTGCTCTCTGCCACTCAACACTGAACAAGCCAGGATTTACACATAGGGGAAGCCCCAGGACCAGATAATACTTGTAGGTTTCAGAGTGAATGAATACATAAATGGTTATATAGGTTTATGCCAGACCAGGTGGCTCTGAACCTAAGGTCTGTGGGGGTTCCAGAGGAACCAGGAGGGCTGCATGGGAGAGGTGAGACTGCAGGAAGCCCCAGGAGCAGTGTGGAAGACAGCCTGTGGGCAGGTGCTCATGCTCAAATGATGAGGGAACAGCATGATCGTGTGTGTAGAGGCAAGGACACCATTCAGTGGGTGGCTGCCCTGCAGAGTCATGAAAAACAGGGCTGTGGTATAGTTCACCTGATACCAGGAGGCCAGGCTGGTTGCCGTGCCAAGGAGGTTGCTGGCTGGGTGGGATCAAGAAGGGCAGACACAGGACCCAGACACTGCCCAGCAAACGGAACCTGCTCCTCTTCCTCCTCCTTCAGCTCACACCCAGGGCAAAATGGGGAGTAAGAAATAACACAAGAGAGGCCAGGAGCAGGACCTGTCTCAGGAAAGTGACTCTGGGGACAGGAGATGAGCTAAGGAGATGCTAAACCAGGCATAGCTCACCACTCCTGGGTCAGGTCAGCTTTGGCCATGCGGTGGTGTGCCCAGATCTGCCCAGCTTCCTGGCACTGACACCCTTCCCCTTCCCCTTCCCCTTCCCCTTCCCCTTCCTCCCTCCCTCCCTCCCTCCCTCCCTCCCTGTGAGGCACTGCTGCCTCCCCCACTCCCATAGTCCTGATGGAGTAGGCTACAACTCCTTGGACTACAGGGGAGGGCTTGTGGCCAAGTGCTGGCCCATCATAGCCTCTCCTGGCCTCAGTGGGTGGCCCAGGACCAGGCAATCAGAGCCCTTCTGTCTTCTACACTGGAGTCAGGAGAAAGTCCTCTTCTCCACAGCGGAGATGGCTGTGAGCCGGTAGCACCTACAGTTGTGCCAGCAGCAGCCAGGCCCACCCCAACCCGAAGGGGAAAGCCCACCTAGAGTACGGGAGACCGGAAGTAAACACGCAGGAGAAGGAAACTGAGAAAAAGAGAAAGCTTGATGCCTTTTGTCACTTGCTGAAATCACTTTCACAAAGCAATAAATCTACTTCTTCACCTGCAGCAGTTCTGAAGGACCTGGGTAAACACGGCAAGACCACGGCCCAAATGTGGGCCAGTAGCCAAGTGGCTCTGGCAGCCCTCGACCCGTGCCCTGCCTGGCCTTTTCTTCTGACCGGCCCACATGAGGGCCCCCACAGAAATCTGGGCTCTACCCCAGGCTTCGGGGCTTCAGCAGCTCTGCGAACACTGCAGAGGTTCCACACAACACCCTCTGAGAACGGCCTGTCAGGGCTGCCCAGGGAGGCCGGGAGAGGCATTTCCCACGGCACTCAGTCCGACCCCGCAGGGACAGCAGAACCGGGTGCTTCCAGACCAGTGTGGCCCAGAGAGTCAGACACCAGCAGCTTTATTCAGCCCAGAAGCCCAGCTGACCTCACCCCCTCCCAGCCTACAAGATCTAGACCAGAGTCGTGCCCCTTTGCCGGGGCACGGGGAAGAGTGAGGGGTAGAGGGTCCTGCTGGGTGCAAGTTGAATGTCCTGGCAGTTGGGGATTTGGAGAGTTAAAAGAGCAGGGGCCAGCCTCACAGTGACAGCAGTGGCGCTGGTGTGCTCAAAGTCAACAGAAGGATATTAAGGACGTAGCTCGTCTCCGACGAGATAAATGAGAATAAACCTTGTTCAGGGCTAAGCAGGCTAGACTGAATAAATACCATTAGCACTTGGATTGCTGGGATGTTCACAATCAGCAGGCGAGTCAGCTGCCTGTGTGCAGAGGGACAGCAGCAGCTGCTACTCTGTATATCTTGGGAGGGGTGGAGGGGGGAGTACGGCAGAAATGGAAGTGACTGGAAGTGATTGCATTTGCAGAAACCATATCATCTGGGTCAGGGTGACCGATGTGGGCAATCTGCCAAGGGTCAGAGGTCATATTTTAACGAAAGCTGAGCAAGTGTTGGTGGGTGGGTAGAGGAGCTGATCTCGGTGTGCAGCCAAGCACACCAGAGGGGCCCATAAGAATACTGCCCACTTCAGACACAGGCGCTGCCCTTGTCCATCCCTGGCTCTCAGGACTGGCTACATAATTTTCAGGCCCAGCGCAAAGTAGAACTGTGGGGCCCTTGTTCAAAAACCACAAGAAATTTCAAGATGGCAAGGGCAGAGCATTAAACCAAGCTGGGCCCTTTTCAGTGTGGGGTCCTCTGCAGCTAAATCGGTCACATGGCCACAAAGCAGGTGCTGCTGGAACCAAGGGTGTGTGCACAGAAACAGAAAACACACAGAAATCCTGCTGGGATGAACAGGAAGAAGGGCTAGAAAAAGGAGAAAAACCTAGAAAAGGCAGAGCTCCAGGACGGGAAATAAGGGTGAGGTTGATGGGTTAGATGGGGGCTGAGGAAACACGAAGCCCCCGCTAAGCCCCCGGAGGCAGAGCACATGTCACCCACAGTCCCGGTCCGAGCTGAGGGACACTGGGGACACACTGGGGTGTGTGCTCTCTAATGAGTCCTCCATGTTTCTAAGGAGA